ATTACCCCACCCCCCTCCCCTCTAAAACCCTCAGATTCTTTCTCAGAGTCCATAGTCTCTCATGGTTCATCTCTCCCTCTGATTTCCCCCCTTCATTTTTCCCTCCCTTCTCCTAATGTCCTCCATGCTATTCCTTATGTTCCACAAATAAGTGAAATCTTTATGTTACCAGCAGAGTTCCTGGTACAAAGCAGGGTATAGCAGAGAGTACTAGAATCAGATAGTTCTGGGTTTTAATTCTAACTCCGCTAATTAGTTGAGTGAGATCTATGGCTGACAGCTTAATTTTATTGCCTCAGTTCCTCATTAGTAAAGTAGAGATAATAATGCTTGTCTTTTAGGGTCTAGTGAGGATGAAGATTGTAAGTATTACCCACCGAATTTGCAGACTTGCTCTTCTTCTGCCTTTGGTTCATTGTGTTACTTTGATGGATAACCTCTTTGTGGTCGTAACCTCTGTGGGAATCTTGGGAGTATGGGTTATCTCCAACTCCTGACACCAACCAAACATCTGACCTTTTAAAACTATTTTCAGTCTTTATATTTTCATCTACTTCATTCCTAGATGAACGAATTCCTAGATCAATTCTGTCTGCAACAGAAACTAAATAGGAGGAAGATCTTTGAGCTGAGACATACTCCCATCACTATTTGTCTTACTGTAACCACTTACAAATACCTCATTGATTTTTCTGCCTTTTAAAAATTTATTTATTTATTTAAGAGAGAGCATGGGGGTGAGGGGCACAAGGAGAGGGAGACAGAGTCTCAGGCAGGCTCTGAGCTGAGGCTCGATCTCACAACCCTGAGATCACGACCTGACCCAAAACCAAAAATCGTTTTTTTTTGCAGCTTAACCAACTGCAGCACCCAGACACCCCTTTCTGTTTTGTTAAATACACATAATAGAGCTATAAAACAGTTTCTAAGCATAGCTTTAACTTATCCCACAGGTTTTGATATGTGGCATTTTAATTTTTATTCTGAGTATTTTCTAATTTGCAGTGTGCCTTAATTGACCTGTGCGCTGTTTAGGTTTGTTTAATAATTTCCTGGTACATGATAATTTTCTAGTTATTTTCGTTAGTTATTTCTACCTTGTTTGCTTTGTGATCATGGGATATTCTCTGTATGTTTTCATTCTTTTGAAACTTGCTGACACCTGTGTTATTGTAAACTTTTAAAATTGTTTTTATGCGTACTCTATGTTCATGCACTTTAGGTCAGGTTTATTAACAATTTTTCCCATCTGCTCTATTGTTACATATTTTTTATTTGCTTATTCTGTCAATGGGAAATCTGTGGTATAATTTGACAGCTAATTGTGGATGCATCTAGTTCTTTTATTGTTGCCATTTTTTGCCTTATATATTTAGAGGGTGTGTGTTTAGGTACATATTTATTTAGTGTTGAAACTTTTATTATTAAAAAATGTCCCCTAATATCTCTAATGCTTTTCCCTCAAGGTCTGCTTCATCTGAAATACAACTACATACTCTTTCTTTTGGTTTGTGTTTGCATGCTATATATTTTTCCTTCCTTGTATTTAATGTTTTCACCTGTGTAATCTTCGTAGTTACAGTTCTACTATTCTTAAATCAGAGATGACAGCAATGTATGCTTCATCTATGAAATCTGTTTCTACAGTTTCATGAACATTGCAAAGAACTTAAAGTACTATAATAACTTCATTTACTCTTCTCCAGACTTACATTCTGTTATTTTGTAATGTATTTTAATTCTGTATATGTGTTGGGACATTAATATTCCTATTTTATGTAGTCATTATTCATACAGATTTACCCACACATTTCGTATTTTCATTGGTTTTCCTTTTCTGCATCTAGAAGCCTCCATTTGGAATTGTTTATTTCTCTCAATGGATTTCCTTGATTGTAGATCTGCTAGAGAGTATTTGTCTTCGTTTTTGTTTTTCTGAAAGTCTTTCGTACTTTGCCTTTTTTTTGAGGACTCTTCTTGCTGGGTACAGAATTTTAGCTCTTGGAGATACCACTCCATTCTCTTCTACCTTTCAGATTTCTATTGAGAGTCCAGCCATAGTATAATTTTGCTCTTGTCCAAGTAATCTCTTTTTTTCCCTGACTGCTTTTAAGACTTCTCTTTGTCTTTTTTTCTTCCCTACTAGTTTCACCCTAGTTTACATAGGTATGGTTTTGTTATTTATCTTGTTGGTCATTCTTAAAGCTGCTTGATTTGTGACTTTGTATTTTTTGTCAGTTTGGAAAAATGCTCAGCCATTATCTTCTATGCCTTAGTCTTTTTTTTCCTATGACTCTGATTATTCAAATGTTACCTTCTCACTGTATCCCCCGTGGTTCTTGTCCCTTCTCTCCCAGTTTCATTCCTTTTTACTTTGATGCTTCGTTCTGGATATTTTTTCAGGCCAATCTAGGCCAATCTTTACTAATTTTCTTCTTAGCTCTGTCAAATCTATTGAGTCCATGTTTGACTTTTTAATTTCCTTAACTTTACTTTTCAATTCGAGAATTTTAATTTTATTTTTTGTTAATTATTCTTTGCTACAATTCTTAGTCTTTTCCTCTGTAGAGTTGACCCTTGAACAACACAGGGGTTAGGGCCACTGACCCCCTGAGCAGTCAGAAATCCATGTGGAACTTCTGAGTCCACAAAAACTTAATTACTAATAGCCTACTGTTGAATGGAAGCCTTACCAATAACATAGTCAATTAAGACATATTTTGTAAAATATAAAAAAATATATTTCATATACGTATTACAATAAAGCTAGAGAAAAGAAAATGTTATGAAAAATTAAGGAAAATATATTTAGTGGAGTGTATTGAAAAAGAATCCCCATGTTACTGAACCCGTGCATAAGTGGAGCCATACAGTTCAAACCTGTGTTTTTCAAGATTCAGTTGTCTGTATCATGTATTGCTATATTGGAAAACATGGCCAGTGAGCTGTATGACCTGTGAGCTAAGAATGATTTTTACATATTTAAAGGGTTATTAAAAAAAAAAAAGTCAAAAGTATCCACAGAGATTGTATGTTGCCTGCACAAGTGTCAAATATATGTTCTTTGGTCCTTTAAAGAAAATGTTTGCCTGCCCTTGCTATATATATTAAAAACAGTCATTTTACAATCTGATTATTCTGTTACTTGAAAGTTCTTCTTTGTTTTTTAAAGTTCATTCTTATTTTTCATCAGTGCTATCTAGTCTTCTCATGTGCCTGGTTTTAGTTGAGCAATGGGTGTTGTATATGCAAAATATTTTAAATAATTTGAGACCTAGTATGATTTTTTTTCCTATGGTAAAGATTCCTGTTTGTATTAAGGTTATACAGGGTTACCAGTGCTTCCAGTAGTCAACTACTGTATAACCTACAGTAGTCTAACTCTGTATAACCTTAATACAACATCAGGGATTTAGGTGATTCTAAGATGGATATCAATTTAGTTTTGGATCACATTCATTCCTAGAGTAAAATGTTCTTTCCAGACTCCCAGTCCAAAGGATGGCCTTTTCATGCTAGGTGTTGGAATATAACTTTTGTCTCCTTAACCAGTGACTACTGAAGTGCTTCTGAGTCTCTTCATCTCCCTCTTTAAGAATCAGCAAAACCTCACAGGCCAGATTATGTGTGTGTATTCCAGCTTTATTTTTATCTTAGTTATAGAATTTATCTGAGTTACCACTGGCAGAGGATTGTGTAATGTCATTTCTGTGTGTAGTTTGTTTGTTTGTTTTTAGAGAGGGAGAGGGAGAGAGAATCTTAAGCAGACTCCCTGCTGAGCATGGAGCCTGACGAAGGGCTAATTCTCATGACGCTGAGATCATGACCTGAGCTGAAATCGTGAGTCAGACACTTACCCGACTGAACCACCCAGGCGTCCCTCTGTGTGTAGTTTTTATAATTATAGTGACTACTCTTAAGATAATAGAATTCAGACTTGGCCATTTTTCCTTTAGGGTTTATTTAGTTTTTACTACTATGTGCATCTTTCTCTAACATTTTCCTGCACTAAAGCAATGAGAACCTCTGTTTTAAAAAGTAAATACATTCTTCTTAATGTTCCTGCATAGCAGGTTGTAGAGAAATTATTTGGAAAATATATCACCGTGCCTCCTATTTAAAACTTTCTCTCACTACTCTGGAGCACAGTCATTTGTTTCTTACTTTAATTCTTAGAGCATTGATTTTGTGAGGTTTTTTGTTATTGTTGTTCTGGTTTGATTTTGGTACGAAAGATATTATACAACCTGCATCCCTATGAAAGTGTGACCATACTAAAGATGATGTGACCTATCGTTTCCTTCTGGTGTCTCTTTATCCCTGCACCTAGCGTAGACATCAATTAAATCATCATAATTACTAACAAATTTTTTAGTGGTTTACAAACTACTACAATGTCATGTGAAAAGAGGTCTACAAAATTTTTGAAATGTGGAATGCAATCAACTGTTTTTTTTCCTAAGTCTTGCTACCAGATGCTGTACTTTAACACAAGATATTGCTCTTCTTTTTTTTCATATCAATGACCATTTTGTGTTTGTGTGTGTGTAATGCATTCTGAACACTTGAAGGTAGCAATAGCTGTTAGTTTTATTTGGAGAAAAAGAGGGACCAAGTGTTTCCTCTGAAATACCATTACCGATGGTAATGTCTTCTGAAACCTACACAGTGGGATTCCACTCTAGGCTTGACTAACAGTGTCAGAGTACTAATTTGGTTCTTATTTCCTAAGATTTTTCTTAAAAGTGGAAAATTTAGGTTAGAAATGAGGTTGCACAGTAATGTACATAAAACAAATATTTGTTACAGAAGTTATATGTCAAGAACTTATTTTTTTATTTAAAAAAAATTTTTAAGTATTTTAATCCAGTGTAGTTAATATACAGTGTTATGTTTCAGGTGTACAATATAGTGAATCAGTAATTCTTTATATTCCTCAACAACGCTTATAAAGGTAATGTTTGATGTTTAGAATATCTTAAATTATTTTTCTTCTTCAGCTTCCGGCCGATCTTACCAAGATGCACATCACAGACAACCCTCATCCGCAGGTGACTCATGTGTCTTCTAGTCAGTCTGGTTGTAGCATCGCCAGTGACTCTGGGAGCAGCAGTTTATCTGATATCTATCAGGTAATATCTTAGGAGTTTGTGTGCTGTGCCTGTGGGTTTGTTAGTCTGCCAGATTACCCATGCTTGTGCTTTAGGTGGTCATGTATCTTTTAAGTTAAGGGTATGAAATTCAGGCAGAATATCTTTGGGAAAATACACTTTATTTATTGTTTAAATTTGCAAACTTAAGTGATCTTTTGAGAGTGATTAAATATGGTTCAGGAGTGTATGAATATAGTGTTCTTTTTAATGAGTTTAATCCAGGGGAATTCATTATATATAATGCTTGCTTTGTTAAAAAAACAGTTCTTGAAACAACTTAAACTTACAAAAAGGTTGATTTTTATAATAATAGACTAAGTGTTCTATAAGTAGTCTTGAAGAATTTTAAGAGTTGCTTTTTCTTTTTTTAAGTTTTTATTTAAATTCTAGATAGTTATAGAGTTGCTTTTTATTGTAAGGGGTCTATTAAATTTTCTAAGTAAAAGGAAACTGGTGAAATTAATTTGAATAATGTATTTTATTTAGCATAATATATCCAAATATTATCATTTCAGCACATAATCACAGTTTAAAATCATGAGTTAACTTTTAAAAACTCTGGCTTCCAAAGACAGTATAAAAAATTATTTTAATATAAATTTAAAGCAAACATGTACATGTAAAATTAATATCACAGTTAATTTACTAGCTGATATTTTTTTTAAAGATTTTATTTATTTGAGAGAGAGAGAAAGGCTTGCTCCAACATGCAGAAAGGCTACCTACCTTCCCAGGCTGCCAGTTGCTAGTGGAGTTCCAGGTGGAATGTTGAGGGGTTCTCTTGGGTTTGTTGTGGCTGGTGGTTCCATGGTGACTGGGCAGACCGAATCGTGGATCAGTGCCATGGAGGAGCTGAGATCCTCTTCAGAGCTTGGCTTTGAGCTGATCCTTGAGGTGGTGGAATTGCCCAATGACCTGAGTCCACAACCGACTTTCCAGAGCTACTTGGACTGCAGCATTCCTACTGCCAGCTTTGGCAACTCTGCAACAGACCAAGCAGGGCACGAGATGGAATGGCGAGGGTCTGCCAGCCCAGGCTGTGGCCCTGGCCCCAAGGTGCCAGGCAGAGGGATGTGAGGGTGCATGCACAGTATGGAGATGTGGGAGTCTCCCAAAGCCAGAATTCAGTATAACCTTACTGTACATCTCTGTTCAGACCAGCCACAGTTCCAGTGACCAATAGTCACATACGGCGAGTGGCTACTATATATTACTCATCTTTTGAAACGGAGTTACTGTTGCTCGAGGAAAACATTTTAGACTGTGGGTCTACTGAGTTTTCAGATATTTGAGGAGAATCAGCATTCCTCTCAAGGAAAGTTTGTAGGCAAAGACAAAATGGAAAAAAACCTCCATTTTTGGATTATGCATAGCTTTTCTCCACAAAGGTCATTGCTGCGGCCATCTACATAGCCTGTTTAGCATTTTATAGTAGACAGAACAAGGAATTCTTTCTGCTTACCATTTTGTAGGAGACGGAACAAGTAATTTTTTAAAAATACACTTAAAAAGTGCAGGGACTTTTAAAAGTGCAGAGCCTCTCCGAGTGTTGCATTCCAAGTATTCAACCCCTCCCCAGAGGAATTGTCATGTGGAAAAAAAAGGGTTCTTGCGCACCTAAAAGTCAAAGTAGAGCTGTAGCTCCTCTGGATTCTTTGTTTTTCCTTAGAGAAGATTGATCCTGGATTAATGAAGTTCAGGGATATGGCTATAAATTTCTCAAAGGCTAAGTGGGAATGTCTAGACCTTGTTCGGAGAAATCATACAGCAGAGATGTGGTGTTGTTAAGGTCTAGGTACCTCATCTTGCTAGTATATCCATTTCTAAACCAGATGTTACCACCTTTTTGGAGCAAGGAACAGAGCCTGAGATGGTTGTAAGAGAAAGGACAAAAGGTTAGTGCACAGATTGAGATCAGGGTCACTTGGAAAGGCCAGTGCTTTACTCTGCACTAGAAGATGGGCTGTACACGGCAGGGTCCTGTATCTTTGGCAGGATCCTGGAGGAGCTTCTGAAGCCTTGCACTCATGTAAGATCTACAGGATGTCTACCTACTGGTTTGTCCACCTGAGGCTGAGGCTGGAGCCACGCCTACTGGTGGTTGGAGGTCTTCTGCTGTAGAATCATGGCCTTGTATGTAACTGCCCCGCTCCAACCTTCTGTATGTTTTCTTTCCTCACTAGCACTTTGTACAGCTCATTCTACCTTTTAAAAGTGTCATTTTAACATTGGCTAAACTGTGGACAAGTAAGCTTGCCAGCTGTCCTGCATGTTACAGGACTGCCTCCATTACAAAGTGAAGAAGGCAACATGTCATATCCCAGAAACCTGAAAGTTACCATTGGCTCTTCTCCCTTGAGCATACCTTCCAGTACCAAGTCATATTCATTCTTTTTCCTACATCATTAGTTGTGTTTGTGTTTATATGTTTGATGTTCACTGAAGTATAATTTACATAGAATAAATTCACCCTCAGTAGTATATAGCCTCCATGAAGACAGAACATTTCCATTACCTCAGAAAGTACTCTGTGCCCCCTTGTAGTCAGTATCTTCTGATCCTCAGACCCTGGCAACCACTAATCTGTTTTCTGCCTTTACAGTTTTGCATTTTCCAGAAGGTCGCATAAATTGAGTCATGCAGTTTGGGTTTTTTTTTTTAGGGGGGGTATTTTGGGAGCCATATACTTTAAAACATGGTGCAATTAAACTTAAAAAGTAATCAATAAAATAAAAGTAGGTTTTAATTAATTTAGGAGGACTAAATAATTAAATCCAGAACCAAAACAGGAATTCAGAAATTTAAAGGAGATAATTATAATATTAAAGTCAAATATGCAAAAAGGTAAGATAAATCTTAAGAGTGGCCAAAGAAGGTAAAAATCCTCAAACCTGGGCTTCCATTAAGTTTAGGTGAATAGCCAATGGATAGAAACAGTTTATGTTAAAAAGGAACAGAGTTAGAAACAGAAGAAACCAGTATCTTAAATAAATACACTTACATACATAATTACATATATTTTATACATGTATACAAGGAATGTAAATGTGAATTAAAGAGGACCAAATGATAATAATATTTTCAATTAGTGGTAGGTTTATGGGTAGTTTTTATTACGTTACCTAAGCTTTCCTTATTTTTTTCTCAGTGCACAGTAGTATTTCTATATTTAACATATTTTAAGGAGGATGTAAATAGAGTGTACTGTTAAAAATAAAAGTTGAATAAAATTGTGGGAAAAGATTAAAGTTAAAATTACTAGATTAAGGAATAAGAACAGAATAAAAATAAACTGATAAAATATAGCCCCCCAAATGCAGAGTATCTATACTTACAATTAAAACACAGATAAAGGGGTGCTTGCATGGCTCAGTCGGTTAAGCGTCTGCCTTGGGCTCAGGTCATGTTCTCAGGGTCCTGGGATGGAGCCCTGCGTCAGGCTCCCTGCTCAGTGGAGAGCTGGCTTCTCCCTCTCCTTCTGCAACGCCCCCTGCTTGTACTCTCTCTCTCTCAAATAAATAAATGAAAAATCTTAAAAAAAAAAAAAAATAGATAAGGTAAATAACACCAACCAAATTGTGTGTGTCTATCCTATCAGATCCTCAGACTAAAAGGGAAGAGGAATAGCAATACTGGACCTTGGTCTTTCTCTTGACCTCTGGCCTCCTTTGGAATACTTACTCAAGCTATGAATACACCCGTTAGTTACAGGTGGACATTAGCCTGTGTATATATACCCTGGCCAGTGACAGTTGAGGTAGTTTGATCATCCAAATTTTGGCACTGCATAGATTTTAAAAGCGAACACCTAATCCAGTCATGGCTTCTAACAGTATAAGTAAAGCCCTGTGAAATAATGCAATTATTTTTAATTTGGTGGTTTGAGGGGAAGAGAGAAGAGAGTCGAACAGCAGTTCTTAACAAGAAAATTGTTGACACCATTTTATATGGCCAAATGTGTGGCTATGCTCCTATGCATTTCCTTCTTGAGAGTTTTCATGTTTAAAAATAAAAGTCCTTGGCTCTCAAGGAAACTTCAAAAAAAAAAAAAAAAAGCATTTACCACAGTCTGGGTAAAATGCAAGTAATCTTTTGGTATGAATATGTTTCTGATCAGATTAGCTTAAAATTTAGCTAAATTTATGCATTAAGATGTTAGATTGTTATTGGATCAAATATTTTATGTATCCTCAAAGAGTACACGAGATAAATAAGGAGTGCTTCTTTCTGACTACTTTTTCTATTTATTTCAGTCTGTTTATACCAGCAAGAGCTGGAATATTGTGAAATAAAGCATTTGTCTTTTCATTAACTTGTTTTTTAGAAACCTGAGGCATACATTCATCCCCCATCCATCTTTTTTAGTTTCTGTGTGGGAAGTAAAACATGGTGCTAAAAATCCCAGTGCTTCAGTTACTATCTCTATGGCAGCATGAGTCCTTAATTCATAGCTCTACTGTCAGTCTCTCTCAAACCGGTGCCACATTTCCACTAGGATGTTCATTTGACATCTCAGCTAGCTTTGCCATACCATGCTTTAATATGCCATACTTGTACTTTCATATTTCTGTCAAAAGTATCTGTGTGCTAGTCAAAAATCTCATTTATCTTTGACTACTCCCATTTTAACGTGGGGCTGGATTTCACGACCCTGAGATGATGACTTGAGTCGAAATCAAGAGTCAGTCGCTTAAGGACTGAGCCACCCAGGTGCCCCTACTCCCATTTTTTAAACTCCCACATGAGATAAATTACGAGAATCATGTGACTTGACTCATATATTTTAAGTTTCAGAGCTTCACCGTTATCTAACTTATACGCTTCATTTCACTTATTTGTAGTCACATTCTAAGCCTTCCACTTCTAACCACAATCTGCAAATCTGGCTTTCTGTTCCACTTACCCCACTTGAACATTCTGGATTCTGGTCCATGACAAAATACATGTTTTATTCCCTGAACATGTTTGCTTTGTCCTAGCCCTGTGTTTTAGTTATGCTCTTCTATCTGCAGTTTCACCTTGATGACATTTTCATATTGTCTCTCATGTCTTGGAAACCGACAGCAGTTTTTCTGTGGATCATGAGTGGAAAATTTGTGCAGGCAGGGTGTTTCTTGTGTATTCCATGCTGAGATAGCACACTGTTGGCACTTAGGAAGTAATCTAGAATTTTTTTTTTAGTTGAGTTACATTTGAAAGTAGAAACAACTATTGTTCCTAGTAATTAAAGCTTGATTATATCCAGGGCAAAGGAGGCTTTACTTGAACTGCCTGACCTATTGTAGAGAATATGGAGTGGGCTATTCTGGACAGCATTACTGTGAAGGATTAATTTTACAGCATTCTTGCTCTGGCAAAAGAGATAAAGAGGAAACATAAGGCCTAAGTGGTACATGTAAAAGGCTGAATGAAGTACTCAAAATGGGAATGCAAAAAAGAGAAGCACTGAAAGTTTAAGGTTAATATTAGGCTTAATATTGGCTCTAAACTTGAAAATGTGGTTTTTGTAAGTTTGTATGACTTTTCATTCCAACCTGTAGTTCCCCTCATTCTTTATCTAGATGCAAACAGGAAAAGGATATCCTCTGGTGGTTCATTTGGGGAAGGCAAAGTGATCAGAAAAATCATCTCAGACTGTCTGCCTCACCAAATTATATTTACACATATACAGAGACATACATTATACTGCAGGAAAGGAAAAACACAAGTTTAATGACCTTGCCTTATTAGCTGTTTCACCAAAAATACCTCCCCCCCGACCCCGAACTTAATTTATTATAATCTTCTTGAGGGTCTCCTGTAATCCACGTGCTAGGATAAAGCAGTTGAAAGACCAGGGCTGATCTTCTCTGTACCCTCTCTTTACAAATGTGACATATCTATTGATCTACATTTTTTTGGTAACAACCGTTGATGTTATCTTATTAGTCTCTCAGACTCTTCTTAAATTTCTTTATGGCCTTATTTCCTTGCTTCAGTTTGGGGTAGTTTTTATTGCCCTTCTTCAAGTTTACTCTTACAGTTTACATTTCTTTACTTAGATTTCCCATTTTCACTCTGCTTATGTTTCTGTCATTCCTGTCTGTCATTCCTGGGTCTCTTTATACTGATTGATTTTTCTCCTGGTTATGTATCACATTTCCCTCCTTCATCTATCTAGTAAGTTTTTATTGTATGCTGGACATTATGAGTACTACATTTTTAAAAAAATTCTCATCTAGTTATTAGAGAATTAAACTCTGCCAACAAACTGCATCCTCAGAAATACCATGCAATGACTTCTAGTCCTAATGGTCATCATATCTTCCTGCACTTTAAAAGACCTGACTTGGCTTTGCTCAGTCAAGAAATTAGACCTTGGATTCTACATAGCTCGTTTTATTTACTTATTTTTAAATTACAAAATCCTTTTTAATTTCCTAGCATGTTTTTGACTGCTCTTTCTTTACTATTTTTAATTCTTATTTTGCCACCTTATCCTTCTTATATACTTTTAACATTTTAATAGTTTAATGTGATATTATTCATCCTTTTTATTGTACTTTGACAAAAGTACAGTTAAGACATTTGTAAGGATAGATTACATTCTTTCCTTTGCAGATGTCCTTAAAAGATCTCTAAAACAGTTCCTTTCATACCCTTCTCACAATTCCTACCCATGATTTCCCTTTTCCCTAAAGAATTTTCCTCTTGTCTTCACTTCTCACACAGATGACAGTAAGCCTTGCCTGTTGTCCACATAACTGAGTTGAATCTTGCTTATTTTTTCTGTGAACCATCTTTTTACCAGATATAATCTAAAAGGTTTGGAGACTTTGTCGAAATAGTCTGGGTCATGGGATGAAAACCTGAAATCGTGATGAAGACAAATTGGTTTAAGAACCCAAATTTATAAAGTAGATTATCCTTAAATTTTGATAAAGTGGAAAAAGGCTACTTTGGGGTGAGCTTTTATATTCTGAAAAATTAAGTAACTGTCAAGAATATTGCTTTAGTGTTTTTAACACTAGTTTCTTGTATTAAAATCCGTGTGTGTAAATAAATGAGGTTTTTGAAAGTCATTTTAGCATGTATACATTTAAATTAAAACTTTTTTTAAAAAGTAATAATAACCTGCTAGCAAGTTTGTGGTTCCAAGGATATATATTCAGAAGTGATTCCACTTAAACTCTAAAGTTCTGTAGCAAGAAAGTAGAGGCAGTTTTGGCCTTAAGGAACCTGGTTGTTTGCAGGTTTGTGCCCCTGTCTTGTCTGTCTAGTCCTCTGGCACCTTGTAGCTTGCTTCAGTATGTCCCAATTATTTATTATTTCATTATTTTCTATGATGATTTTTAAATTGACTATGATTGATATTTAAATTTACAGTTACTAAGAAATCTACTTTCTTTATAAATATCTGAGACCAATATATTTCCAAAGTTGAGGTTGTAAGTGTAAGCTTATTTTAAACATTGGTTGCGATAATCTCAGCTCTTCTTCCTAATACAGTCATGGTTGCCTACCTTACTGGACTCTAAATCTTTTGGTGAAAGACTATCTTATTTGCAACACCCAGCACAGACTAATAGATACTCATAAAATGATTGTTGGTAAACTGTCTCTTTCCTGCACTTCATGTTTTAGGAACTGTTATACTTCTAAGAAATACACATGTTATTTGGAAAACAGGTATTAATCCAGGTGTTTACATCTCTTGACCATTTTATAAACTTACTGGCTCAGATTTATCATCTGGATATCACCATGAGCCTGTCTTTTTGGGCAGAGAGAAGCCTTTTATAAATAAGTATTTTTTGCTTTTGATATAACACAGTATTGCCTGATTCTTTATAGTGTTAGGGAGGAGTAGTTTTGATTAATTCAGGCTGTGACATACAATTTTTATAACATAATCAATCAAGATTTCTTTCTGTAGGCTACGGAAAGTGAGGTAGGAGATGTAGATTTAACACGTCTTCCAGAAGGACCCGTTGATTCTGAAGATGAAGAAGAGGAAGATGAAGAGATTGATCGAACAGATCCACTACAGGGGCGAGATCTTGTTCGAGAATGTCTCGAGAAAGAACCTGCAGACAAAACTGATGATGACATTGGTAAGAAATACATCTGTTCACAATAAGAATTTTATAGTTTAATTTATATATAGTTAACTTCTTGCTGCATAACAAAATACCTGAAGCTTAGTAGCTTAAAATAACATGTTTATTTTCTCATAGCTTTTGTGGGTCAGGAATTCCTGAGCAGCCTAGCTGAGTGGTTCTGGCTCAGTTTCTCATGAAGTTGTAGTCAGGATGTCAGCAGGGGTTACAGTTAACTGAGGCTTCCCTGGGCTGAACTAGAGGATATACTTCCAGTGTGGCTACTCACATGGCTTTTAGTACAAGACCTCAGTTCCTGCCGTGTGGGCCTCTCCATAGGCTCTTAAATATTCTCACAGTGTAGCAATTGGTTTCCCCCAAGTCAGGTAATCCAAGGGAGAGTAAGGCAGATGCCACATTATCTTTTATGATTTGCCTCAGGAGTGTCACACAGAGTTACTGTAATATAATATGGGAGGGCACTGCATAAGATCATGAATAATAAGAGCTTTGGAGCCATCTTGGAGGCCGGCTGCCCCAATTTGAGAGTTTGTTTGGAAGATACAGCAGGGGAGTATAGCTAGTGGTATACCATTGACCAAATAACAGTCATCCTTTATCGGGGAAGTTCATCCTCTTGAACTGAGTGCACAACTTGCAGAGGGCTGCACACGGAACAGTCAGGGAGGAAGGGGACACCTGCCTAGCCAGGCAGATCATCTGAATCAACGCTGGCGGTTACTGGGGTGATATATGTCACAAGCAGATAGCCCTCATATTCTGGCTGCTCCCAATTATAAAACAAAAGCTTGACTGTATTAAAGTAATTTCCCTCTTCATGACCATAAGGTATTTAAGATACAGTACAACAGTGTCTGATGTCTAGCTTTTTAAAAATTTTTCACGTTATCAGAAGTCATCTTTTTACTTGTCTAGCTTGAAAAAAATATATAATTTTTGGATAAAAGTTTATGAATTTTCCTTTAATTTCTTACGAACTAATTACTTTGGGAGGTTGAATAATACTAAAGATGCTAATGTTTTCTTTAAGAACAAAGATTACTTAGTGTCATTATATACTGATAGGATTCAATTAAGATTTTATCCTAGATTTCCCTTTTATAATAGCCATATTGCTGTCATTCAAATCAGAAGATGCTACTACTAAAAATCATAATCTATGTGAGTAAAGATCAGTACATTTGAACATTCCTTGCCATTCTAACGACGTAATATTGTTAATTAACTTGCAGTTTAGACCCATGTTATGAATAGTACCTGGACAGAAATTGAAAGTACATTTTTAATGATAAAGAATTGTATACAGTACTCTTTTCACAGTTTTTTAAGAATTGAAATATAATTATCTCCCAATTATCTGGATAAATAGCACCTTATAGTTAATTCTTTTTCATCCCTTAGCTGACTGCTTGTATATGTGTTTCTCCCTTATATTTATCTTATTACTCATGTATCTGTACCAGTAATGTTGCCCTAAGGCAGGCACTCATAAACATTTGTTGGTTATAAAGAGAGTTACCTTGCAGTTGCTTCAGTGGTTTGGAACTAGAATTCAAATTTGTTATCCTTCATTGCTTAATTGTTGACATTTATTAATAACTGTCTTTTTTTTTTTAACTCTATCCCGATAAGAACTAGAAAAAAGACTTTTTTGCTAATCTGTTAGATGGAAGGATATCACTAACTTAACTACCATGGAGTGACATCTCAGGCTAGGAGATAGGTTTCTGGTTCTCTCTGGAGGTTGTGAATTCTGGGTATCTTCCAATATGCCTATTTTTTTGTGTGATTCTGAAATATCTGTTAAATCATTGATTTTTTTTTTTTTAACCAACAGTCATCTCATACCTTGGTTGCTCAGTGTTAACAGATAAATTCATAAGTTGGTTAGAAAATTGGGTATTCAATTCTAGATTTTATTGGATCTTTAAAGTATAGTCTTTGATGGTGTCTATACCAAAATTTCTTTCTTTTTTTTTTTTTTTTTTTTTACTAGAACAATTACTGGAGTTTATGCACCAGCTCCCTGCTTTTGCAAACATGACCATGTCTGTAAGGAGAGAACTCTGCTCAGTGATGATTTTTGAAGTGGTAGAGCAGGCTGGAGCTATTATTCTTGAAGATGGGCAAGAGGTAGGCTAGCAAATGTTGCATATTATTTAGTGTGGGAGCTAATTTTTAGAATGATTTAATTTCCATAAACTTATGTAAATCTTGACTTTTGAAATTTATACGATTTTTTACATGAATGCTGAGTTTGGGTTTGTTATAATTTCTAAAAATAACAAGTTTTTATTTTTGTTTTGGCTTTACTTTGTCTTAATTTTTATTTCCCAGCAGTGAACCTAGCATAGAATAGATGTTCAATAAATAACATTCATTGAACCAAATTTGTTTTTACTTCTCAAGTTGTAATACTTTTAAAAAATTCTTAATCTATTTGTATATTTGTCATTATTTAAAATATTTATCTACTCTCCTTATCCATTTTCTATGTTATACATTAAAAAAAAAAGAGTAAAACGTATTGGTATCTATGCCTCCTGGTGAATTGCTGTCATTTGAGGCATTTATGTGGTGGCAGTTCTATGTTTAGAAATGTTTGGCTGGTAACCTTGGGTAGGTGAAGGGAGGATGCAGAGGAATTACTGCTGTTAGGAATTACTTCAGTTTTTCTTATCAAACTGATAAAAATGCTGACATCAATCAATGAAAATTGCCATATACTGCTAGCTAGACTATAAACAGCATTTCTGGAAAGTCATTTAGAAATTTTTAACATGGGCCTTGAAGAATTAACAGTCTCTATCCTATTTCACTCATTATGAGTCTTTGTTCAGTACATAATATAAAACTCAGAGTTATGCCAAAAGATGTTCATTGCAGCATATTTATATTTATTGGAAATGACTAAAATGTAATTCAGTAATCAGTGGTTAAGTAATTATTATATGCCTACCAATGTAATATGTAGGTATTCAAGTATTTTAAAATTTGATGGAATCTCTCTGAAGGCAGGGGCCTTATCTCTAGCTTTATTTACATGTTTTTTCCCATATCCTAAACATCTGGCAGGATAGACTCAAGAAAAGAAGTTTCTCCCTCTCTCCCTGTGTCTCTGTCAAGTAAAATCTTTAAAAAAAAAAGGGGGGGGCTCAGTCGTTAAGCATCTGCCTTCAGCTCAGGTCCTGATCCCAGGGTCCTGGGATCGAGCCCCGCATCGGCTCCCTGCTCCGCGGGAAGCCTGCTTCTCCCTCTCCCACTCCCCCTGCTTGTGTTCCCTCTCTCACTGTGTCTCGCTCTGTCAAATAAATCAGTAAAATCTTCAAAAAAAAAAAAAAGTTTCATGAACAAATGAATTTAGTATTAAATTTTCTTAAAAGGCAAGACAGTCTAATCTATTTCAACAGTATAAAGTAATATAAACCTAGAGAAACTAAACTTCTAACAACATCTATGTAAAAAGTGGAATTTTGAAGAACTTTTCCACAAATTTTTGTATTCTCCTAATTTTCCACAGTTGTGTCAGCAAAAATTTGTTGTGTGCCTACTTTGTGCTGGGTACTGTTCTAGACACAGTGTAGTGGTGGAAAAACTAGACACAGTCCTTGTTCTCAAGTAAATTATGTTATCCACAAATTGCACAGTGAGTGAATTTCATATTTGCAATAACCCAAAAACATGCTTTTGAAAAAAATTTTTTGCTACTGATTCTCCTTCAGAACTGATAATTCAGATTTCCCTTGAATCACCTTTAAACTGTTGAAAGTGTAGGCTGATAAGAGGTATACTAAAGGAGAATAAGTGGTCTTTCACTGAGTTAACTTCTAGGAGCACCATATGTTGCTATATAAATGAAGGCAGTATTTTCTTAACATTAAGAGAAATTTTCAGTATTTTGTCAACTATGCCTTAAAATTCAGGGTTTTAGTTATCTTTCTGAATTAATTACTGGCTATCTTTTTTTTTTCTTTTGAGAGCTGGCCATGCCCTAGGCACTGTTCTAAGCACTCAGTGTGTATGTAGCTTAGTATGTATAAACTCATTTCATTAAGACAAAGGTCCTATGATAGGTACTCTTGTTAAGCCCACTTAGAAATCAAGAAACGGGGGCACGGAGAGGTTAAATAACTTGCCCAGAGTCACTCACCCAATTAGTGGCAGGATCTGAATACAGATTTCAGGAGCTTATGGTTTTAACCATTACATCATTTTTCTACGAGTATTTGGTCAATTATGAAGGTCCCCCTGATGTCATTTGGTCACTAAAAGAGGAAAGAGTAAAATAAGCTTTATTAGTTTGCATAGACAGGCATAGGATGATTTCTGACAATATAAAGTAATATAACCAGATCTTTTTCTTTTTAAAAATATACAAGTTATATGTGTTGATTATTTTTCAAAGTTAACGTATAACTATCTTTTTAAAAAGATTCTTAAAACCTGTCTTTTTCTCTGTAGCTTGACTCATGGTATGTTATTTTAAACGGCACTGTAGAAATCACTCATCCAGATGGAAAAGTTGAAAATCTCTTTATGGGAAATAGTTTTGGAATTACTCCCACTCTGGATAAGCAATACATGCATGGAGTTGTTAGGACTAAAGTAGATGATTGTCAGGTAAGTTTATCTCTTTGCTCTTGTATTCTCATTTGTTGATTTAAAATGGCCGAGACTGTTTTTTCTTCCTCAAAATAAAATAGCTTGATTTGAGAATTGGGAGTTTTCAGAAGCTCACAGTTAATAAAAGGAAACTAGATTTTGTGTCTGACTCAAACATTTGTGGAATTGAACAAAGTATAAATTTTTAGAAGAGATATTACGAAATGTTGGTTTGTTAAATCTCTATTGGGGTAATAGCTAGCCAGTTTAGTCTTTTTTTTTTTTTTTTTAAATAAAGGAAAGAAATAGGAACTTCTGAGTTGTTTCTAACTTAATCCTGCTTCATGTTTTCTTTGCCTAGCGTCAGTTTTGAGAGAAGTAGATGTTCACTTCTCCTTTTAGAGCAGAATTCAAAAAGATTTAACCTCTTTGGTCTCTTTGTACATGAATTATTTATTTCACCTTGATTTTTGTTAAGGGTTAAAGGGATTGAATAAAAAAGAACTGATGCCACTCGATTTCTTACCTTTGTGCTCTGCCTTGGTGCATAGTGATATATTTATGTACTACAGGTTCATTAACTGTCCCCATGTTATTCTCGGACAGTTTGTCTGCATAGCCCAGCAGGATTATTGGAGAATTTTAAATCATGTGGAGAAAAATACCCATAAAGTTGAGGAAGAGGGAGAAATTGTTATGGTGCATGAGCACCGTGAACTAGATCGGAGTGGAACCAGGAAAGGACACATTGTAATCAAGGTGGGTGTTTTTATTTATTATTCTAGCCACTGATAGAATAAAGCTTTCTTGTTTATAAGGCTTTGAACCACTTTTTGTGCAGTGCAAGATAATTCACTAACTTTAGAATGTGTTGGTTCTTTTGCTTTTTTCTACGTTGGTTTTTACACATTTTAATAAGCGTGACATTGCCATTTAATATCAGTATGGGTAGGATATTATTTTAGAATACACTGGTCAAAGTTTTCCTTTCCAAATTCATTTTATCCATTGACAATGGGAGTTAATTTCATCACACACAGAGGTAAGCCAGAGAAAGAAATACCATATGATTTCACTCCTATGTGAATTTAAGGAAGAAAACTAATGGACGTTAGGGGGTGGGAAGGCAAACCAAGAAACAGACTCTTAACTGTAGAGAACAAACTGAGGGTTGCTGCATGGGGAGGTCATTGGAGAGATGGGTTAAATGGATGATGGGTATTAAGGAGGACATTTGTTGCAATGAGCACTGGGTGTTGTATGTAAGTGGTGAATCACTGAACTGTACACCTGAAACTAATATTACACTGTATGTTAACTAACTGGAATTTAAATAAAAACTTTTGGAACTTAAAAAAAAAAACAGCAGTATTTAGAAACAAAACAGAAAATGAAAGGACGAGGGGTGTCTGGGTGGCTCAGTTGTTAAGCGTCTGCCTTTGGCTCGGGTCATGATCCCAGGAGCCCCACATCAGGCTCCGTGCTGTGGGGGAAGTTTGCTTCTTCCTCTCCCACTCCCCCTGCTTGTGTTCCCTCTCTCTCTTTGTCCCTCTCTGTCAAATAGATAAATTAAAATCTTTAAAAAAAAAAAAAAAAAGAAAGGACTAATCACAAAAGTATGAAAGTGGTAGATGAAGATGCATAGTGCTTACTGGATATTTATGGCATTGAAATAGGCATTATCTTCTCTGAACCTCAGTTTTCTTATCTGAAAATGATATAACAGGGCTTTATTAGGAATAAATGAGTAAACCAAAAGCCTTAGCACATTGTAGAGTCTGAATGTTAAACCCCATACTCTTTTCTGTAGCTCCCTCTCCCCTACCTTTGTCCACTTGCCCCCTTGTCTCCCTCCTCTCCCTCCCCCAATACCCTGTCTCTTGGAAGATCTCTAGATTGTAAAATAGAGGAATTATAGTTGAAATAGAGGAAATAAAAACGTAGAACCATTTCTCTTTTCAACCTAGTCTTGGTTGCAAAATAAGTAAATGTGTTATTATTCATTACAAATGCATGAACTTATTAAATAATGTGAAGGACTGATGTCAGATCCATTTTTCCTCAGGAGTCAGGCTATTCTGCAACACTTTTTCTTTTCCTAAACTGATAAATATAAGCTTTATATGTAGAAAAGATGAACATATGGGTGGATTGCCATTGACTATCTTTTTTTATGGGGGTTCATGTTTTTTTTAATTCTTTAAACAATTACAACCTTAGATAATAGTTGCAAGAACAGTATTGAGCTCCCTCACTCAGAATCCCCAACTGCTCGTTAGCATTTCACTGCATTTTCTCCATTGTCAGCAATCTTTCTCTGAGTCATTTGAGAACAATCTGGAAGCCTGATGCAGCACACCTGAATATTCCATTGTGTATTTCCTAAAAACAACACTCTCCAACACCATGGAACCCTTCAAGTTGGGAAATAAAAATTGATACAGTATAACCATTCAGCCCACAGACTCTATTTAGATTTTCACCGACTATCCCAGCAATGGCTTTGTCCTTTCTCATCCAGCATCTCACCCAGGAACAGTTCATATTCTCAGCAGTTATAAAGAATACCTTTTATTCTGTAGTGTCATCCTCAGTGTGGATCTTTCCAATGTTTCCTCATGAGCAGACACAAGTCATGCTTTTCTGGCAGGAATTCCACAGAAATGATGTCCTATTCTTCTCTGTGCATCATATCAGGGAGCATGTAATGTCAACCTGTCCCACCATTGGTGAAATCTACCTTAATCATCTGGTCATGTTGATGTCTGTCACATTCGTTCACTATCAAGTCACCATTATACCCTTTGTAATTGTTAAGTGTTTGGAGGAAAGATGTTTTGACATAGTGTCAGTAAATCCTGCTAACTTCTGTCCTCCACTCTTCCATTGACTCCTGCCTAAAATGGATTTCCCCCCTTTTTTTTACATTTATTATCTTTTTCTCTAAGGATGAAAATTATCTTTTCCCCCATCAACTCAGTTATTCTGGCATGGATTTGTGTGTTGTACTCTCTCACCATCATTGTTGTTCCAGTGGTCAGGTTGTCCCAGATTTGGTCAATGGGACTTTCATAAGGCTGACTCCTATATCCTTTTGACATGTCCCCATCATGTTTTGAGAGCTTTCCTATTATCTGGCAAAACAAGATGTTCAGGCTCATCTTGTGCTTTTCCTGTTCCAGCTTTGGAACCAGCCATTTCTCCAGCGAGCCCTAGATCCTCCTAGTGGAGAATAGCATTTAAAAACTAAGATCTTTGGGGACCCTGGGTGGCTGAGTTGGTGGAGCATGCGACTCTTGATCTTAGGGTTGTGGGTTTGAGCCTCAGTTGGGTGGAGAGATTACATAAAAATAAAATCTTTTAGGGACGCCTGGGTGGCTCAGTTGGTTAAGCGTCTGCTTTTGGCTCAGGTCATGATCCCAGGATCCGGGGATCGAGCCCTGAGTCGGGCTCCCTGCTCAGTGGGCAGTCTGCTTCTCCCCCTCCCATTGCCCCCTCCCACTGTGTCTTTCTGTCTCTCTTTCTCTCTCTCTCTCATGCTCTCTTGCTCACTCTCTCAAATAAATGAATAAAATCTTTTAAAAAAACCAACAGCAACCACCCAAGATCTTGGCACTTAGTCTTTCATTCCTAGTTAGGTGTCATTGCTTTTAGAACCTCTGATCAGACACAGCAAGGAAAGATCTGTATTTACTATATAGTATATTTATGTTAAATGTATATTTACAGTTAATGCATATGCATGTATAACTTTGTATATGTCTCCATCTATTTGTAATAATCATGAGTTCCTACGAGCATACCTAGTTCCAGTGCTGTACCACAGTTTTTCCTGTCCTTTCTCTTTTCATATTTGTAAATGCCTTCTCCTGCTGTGACTCTTGTTATGCTCTGTGTACTTACTTACTTGCTCATTGTAACCAGTCTCTAGCATGCCAGTGTCCCCGTTCCAGTCATCTCCCTTGCCTGCCAACTCTGCTCACCCTGTCTCCCAGAATCCCACCTTGTCGGATACTAGTGAGCCCCTTGGTGACATGCCTCTGCATGACTATGGGGCTCACCTTTAAATATAGTTTTGAATATATGGCTTAGTGTCTACAGATATCCTGCCCCAGTGATTTAGCTAGTCAGAATAATAAACTTTCTTTAACATGCTGATCAGTTCCTTCCCCGACTTAACTATACATAAATCTAAGAACCAGATTTAAATACCTCAACTCAAGATTGGCCTTTGAAAGTTAAGCCCAATTTGGTACTCTTTGACTTAGATTGTTTTGGAGGGTGGAAGAATAGGAATGACCTGTGGTTGCCTTGTCCCTTAAATATGTTATATGAGAAACCTTACTTTGACTTCCTTCTAGAGAAATGATTTATATACCTTTTTTTAAGTAAATTCTTAGATAACATTGTTAGTATTGATGTATGTTTACCATACGGTTATTCTCACCGGTGAAATTGTTGGGTGAATTGAAATTTGAGGTTATGTACAACAGTTGGTTTTTATATTTGGTTTAACATCTGGTTTATCTTTACATTTGTTCTGTACACACTTTTGAAAAGGCTGCAAAGGTAATAAATTTTAACATTGATTCAGAAGCCTAAAGCAGAGCCGTAGATAAATGTTGTTTACATTCCTTTTTATAAATCTGGAGACAGGCAAGCAGTTAAAACTCTGAATTAATGTAAAAACTATATATAGAACTTCTGGTTCCTCTCAAGATGGTGAACTAGCATGGAGAAACTATAGAAAAAGAAACTTCTTTTCTAGGAAGTAAAAACAAAACACACTGTCTTGAACTGGTACGTTGTTCCTATAGCCTGGGGCAGAAGAGATTTGAAGATGATTAAATTTAGAGGAAAGGTTTTTTTTGTTTTGTTTTGCTTTGTTTTGTTTTTTAAGTTTAACTCTGACTTACTCCATCTGGTGGCTTAAGATGTCATTCCCCCCACCCCCACCCCAGTTGTAGAAAAAGGCCACAACAGGGGTAAATCACTGAATTTCAAAAGCCCTGCTAGGATAAAATGACAATTAAAACCGCTAAAACTGAGTAAATGCTGGTGGGTGTTTTCATCCTCTGCCTTTTCTCTCTTTCAACCTCTGGGTGCTGGTGGATTGCAGCCTGTACAGACTGCCTTCTCCCACTGCTAAGTATTTTAACAGTGAAACTCTGCTTTGAGGAATTGTGTAATAGAGTGACTACAAAGGCAAGTAATCAGTAGAGTTGTTTCCTCGGCTATTTGTTTATTTTATGATCTTTTCTATCCTTGGATTTTTAGGCAACACCTGAGCGTCTCATTATGCATTTAATAGAAGAACATTCTATTGTGGACCCAACTTATATAGAAGATTTCCTACTAACTTACAGGACATTTCTTCCAAGTCCTTTGGATGTTGGGATCAAACTACTGGAATGGTTTAAAATTGACAACTTACGGGATAAGGTTGGTTTTATAAATATGAAGGGCATGGAAGTGATTTTAACCTATAAATTTTATTCATAAAACCTTTTACAGTTGATAAATATTTATTTTGATAAGAAAATTTACTTCACCTAAAAAACATAGCTCTACTTAGTTACTTTTGTGGAAAAAAGCATGTTAAAAAGTGGATATAAAGTCTTTAAAGTTAATAACTGAAATAGTCTGTGGTATAGCTATAAACTCAGAAAACATGAGAGCTGCGTAAGAGTGTTTTTGAACTTTATCAAAATGTTTGTTTCTGAAGGAGATCAGTAAAACACTTAAAACTTAATAGTTTAGAAAGAATATTCACCAAGTAAATTATTTTCAGGGGAGCGTAGATTGTAAGCCCCCAAATAAAAATTTGTTGATTTTTGAGTTAAAGACTTCATAATCATTTTACAATAATTAGTCTTTTAGATCTTAATATCTCTCTGTTGTGACTTATTTTAAATCTACATTTGAGTATTTTTTTTTTTTGCATTAAACATCGTTTGCTCTTTTAAATCATCTTACCTTATTTCACAGGGTGTTTGTACATTTAGTGGAAAGAGTAGCAATACCTCAGCAAATTGGTAGGAAGTTACTTATTTTAAGAAAAATAAAAGTAGGGTCATAATTGCTTGGTATGTCTTTCTGAGTTATATCTTTTTTTAAATTATTAACATATAATGTATTATTTGTTTCAGGGGTACAGGTGTGTGATTCATCAGTCTTAAACAATACACAGCGCTCACCACAACACATACCCTCCCCAGTGTCCATCATCTGAGTCTTAAAAGAAATAATTAGATGTACCTGGACTCTGGAATTCCATTGTTTAGGAAACTAAAGTGTTTTAAACTACAGGCTTGCCTCCCCACCCCCTTTGGAGTTATGTGTAGTTACTTGAGTTCCTGAGGAGATAAAGGTATGCTGAAGATTGAGCAAAAGTATGAGTGAGGGACAACTAGATAGCCACATGCAAAAGAATGAAATTGGACCATTACCTTACCCCATATACAAAATTAACTCAGAATGAGTCAGAGACCCTAAATACAGGAGCTAAGACTATAAAACTCTTAAAAGAAGAGGTTAAAAAATCATGACCTTCTTAAACTTTTTTGTATTCATATGTATTGTTTAAATCTTTACAATGACGTGCTGTTTTTTACAAAAATAAAATCTTTTAAAACTTAAAAAAAAGAAAAACCATGACCTTGGATTTGAGATATGCTATCCAAAGCACAAACAACAAAGGACAAAAAACAGATAAGTTAAACTTCATCAAAATTAAAGCCTTAAATTGAAAGAAAAGACAACAAGTGGAATGGGAGAAATATATTTGCAAATCTTATATCTGGTAAGGGTCTAGTATCCAGAATGTATAAAGAACCCTTGCAGTTCAACAGCAAAAAGAGAACACAACGTAAAAATGTGTTTGCTAGCCATTTATATATCTTCTTTGGAAAATAACCTAGTCGAGCCTTTTGTCCAAGACTCTTTTCCAAAGAAGATATATAAATGGCTAGCAAACACATGAAAAAGATGTTCAACACCATTATTCATAGGGAAATGCAAATCAAAACCACAGTGAGATTCTACTTCACACCCACTAGGATGGCTTTTAAAAAGGAAAGGAGGTAACAAGCATTGCCAGGGATATGGATGTGGAGAAAATGGAATTCCCATACATTGTTGGTAGTAATGTAAAATGTTATAGCTGCTCTGGAAAACAGTTTGGCATTTCTTCAAAAAGTAAAACTTAGAATTACCAGATAGCCCCACAGTTCTCCTCCTAGGTATTTATCCAAAAGAACTGAAAACAGGTATGCAAACAGAAACTTAGATACAGATGTTCATAGCACTACTGACAATAGCCAACAGATAGAGACAACCCAAATGTCCATAAACTGGTGGATGGGTAACAAACTGTGGTATAGCCGTGTAATGAAACGTTACTCAGCCATAAAAGGGAAAAGTAGTACAAGCTGCAACATGGATGAACCTTGAAAACATAATGCTAAGTGAAAGAAGCCAGACACGAAAGGTCACATTTTGTATGAAATATCCAACATAGGCAAAATACACAGAGACAGAAAGGCTGCTTGGAGAGAGGGCAGAAAGTGAGGTGGCTCTGTAATCGGAATGGGGTTTTCTTTTGGGGTGATAAAAATGTTCTGGAACTAGGGAGTGGTGATAGTTGCACACCATTGTGAATGTGCTAAATGCCACTGAGCTGTACACCTTAAAGTGTTTTAAATGGTGGCTTTTATGTATATTCTATCACAGTTTAAAAAATATATAACTTAAATTACTTCCATTGTTAGGTGCATGATTCAGTTCAGCTTCCATTAACTTTTCTGTTAATCTGTGACGCAAAGTAAGCAAATCACTTTACAGCTTTGAAAAGTCACAGTATAATGAAGTAAGTTCACATGTGCTTATGTTAGGACTTGGTTAAACATGTGCTTGGCTATATAAACACTTTTGATATGATTGCCTCCCCTTAGAAGCTCACATTTTAGGATACTGTCTGAGGTATACATTCTGTGTACTTCTTACAGCTTAGCATGCAGGTTTATGATGGGGTTTTTTTGTTTTGTTTTTTCATGAGGGTACAGTCTTGGCGCTCTCTGTTGCTTGTGTCTCCCAGGAAACAAAAGGTCAAAATAAACCATGCCTCTCTGTAAGAATGAACCTTTTGCATGCGGGATAGGGGGTGAAGGGATTAGCCATAAAGCTCCGTTCCCCCTCAGTTCTTGGACATGCTTTTCGAATATACTTCTGCAGAAAGAATGCCTCTCATAACTGTATGCTCCCTCCTTCATGTTTCCACAGGTAACACGGATTGTGTTATTATGGGTAAATAATCATTTTAATGATTTTGAAGGTGATCCTGCTATGACTCGATTTCTGGAGGAATTTGAAAAAAATCTGGAAGATACAGTAAGACTCAAAAGAATTTATCTTCTTCAAGGTTTAGGGATTTTCCTCATCCCCAAATAACAGCAACTCAGAACAACGTTTATCTTCTGTGTCTTGAATGTCTGCTCTGAGAACTCCACATTTATATTCTAGAATCTGCTCATTCTCTGCCACTAACCCAAGCGAAAATCCGGCTTCCTCCTGACTCTTCTGTTTTCATTTTAAGACTAATGAGAATGCTATCTCCAGTCACCCAAGCTTATGAACTCTGGTGTATATGTGGGCCCCCTCTCTCTTTCCCTTGAATTCCCTGACCCAGGTGTTCATTCGTTGCTAAAGGCACCTAAGTTACTAATTATGGCAGTACACATATTCCCTATGGTCCCTTTCTCTCTGCCATTCCTTTTTCACTCCCCATTTAAGTCCTCATTTCATCATGCCTCATCTGTTGTATTAGCTAGCTAATTTTAGTTCTGGCATTTTTTCTAGTCCATTTTATGTGGCCAAAGATTGTTTTTAAACTATAAATGAGAATGAATATTTCTCTTTGTCACACTAAACTAAAGCATTTCCTACCAAAGTAATTCCTCATCCATATTCAGGTTCCTCACTGTAGGTGAGTCTTTTTCAGTCTTTTTATCTGTGCCCCCTTGATTTTAACCAACCAGATTATTTTATATTGTTTACCAGTTCTCAGGTTTGAATTCTTTTCTTCTAGTGTTGCTATTTGAACTCTATGCAACTTTGAAGGCCTATTTTATGTATCAGCGCTACATTAGGCATTCTGAGTCTCCCTTCTGCATGTGATTTCACTTGTTCTAAATATACAACACCTAAGATAATCCCCTCAAGGTCCTCTTAACTTTCACAGTTGCTATTTATAATTCCATTTACTCTGTCACATGAAAACTTTGAACTGCAACTGGATTTATGTCCTCCAAGCAACTTGAAATTTTAGGAAGTAAATTAATAATCAGCTCAGGAGTTAGTTTGCCTGAATTAACATTTAAATTATACCACTTGTTAGACATGTAAACTTGGACAAGTAGCCCAGCCCTTTATGCAATTGTCTTTATAAGTAGTAGCCCCTAGTTTCTGGGGATTGTTATAAGGATTATAATGAGCTAATGAATGTAACAGTCTGGGGGGAAAAAAACCTGGCACATTGCAAATGCCCAAGAACCATTGCTGTTACTCAGTGTAAGTGGATTGAGTTGAAAAAGGGACACATAGGCAGATTTCTGTCCGTTCCCTTACCTCTCAGTTTCTATAGCCTTCTCAGCAGCCCTTCGGCTCTGTGCAAAATGGGAAGAATGAACAGAGACAGGGGAACTTGATTAAGAGGCTGTAGAAGCTTACTACCATCATTTGGGTTTTCCAGTGCTGGCTGTACAGATATTTACGGGCTAATGGAAAATAGATATTGCCTTACAATCATGGGATTTCTTTTTTGATAATCATTCAGTCATCAGGTATTTATTCAGTTCTACTTTATGCTTCCAGGGTGTTGGGAGTATAGGATCAGAACAGGTGTAAGGCTTGGCCGCTGTCCTGAAGAAACTTTAGCTGCTTTTTATAGGCATGAAATTTACACATACTATGCTATTTGAGAATAGTTGAATATTAAATTGGTATTAAAATCTGAAAGTGAGAATATTACTAAGGTTAAGAAAGATCTAAAATAATATAGGAATAATATACCCAGAGAGGTAGTAGGGACTTGAATGTATTTTTCAGTATGACTGTATTCAGAAAGGTGGTTCAGGTCTTTTAAGGTTTTAAATGAAGGTTTATAAAGATTCTGGATTTATGTAATAGCCAGGAGATGAGCAAGGTAGGAAAGTTCAGGCCATGAGAAGTAACGTTTTGTCTTCCCTCTCTAAATGAGACATCATTTTAAACTTTTCTAACCTGTGATTATCGAGCAGTTTTTAAAAAATTGTATTGCGAGATCATTTTCTTGACAGTGCTCTGGGGTGGAAGTTTTCCTCCTTCGGTTTTTATTTACGCTGGCTTACATGTTCTTTACTCTGTATTTCATCAAGGTAACTCAGATTCTAATAGTTTTAGGTGATTTTTAAAAGCCTATAGGAATAGATACATAAATTTATGTACATTATACCCTTTTTTACTTTTTTAGAAAATGAATGGTCATCTCCGGTTATTGAATATTGCCTGTGCTGCAAAGGCCAAATGGAGACAGGTGGTGCTGCAAAAGGCTTCCCGGGAGTCCCCTCTACATTTCAGCCTTAACGGAGGGAGTGAGAAGGGGTTTGGTATTTTTGTTGAAGGAGTAGAACCTAGTAGCAAAGCTGCTGATGCTGGACTGAAACGTGGTGATCAGGTAGGTAAATAACCACCCACGTGAATTAAAACCTTTTTGGAAGTAATATGTCTGCTGCTTTTTTTCACATGTGATATTTCTTCAAGTAAGCATGATCAACTTAAGGAAATTCAAATAAAAATTAAAATGAGGGGTGCCTGGGTGGCTCAGTCGGTTAAGTGTCTGCCTTCAGCCGAGGTTGTGATCTCGGGGTCCAGGGATCAAATCCCTGCTCAGCAGGGAGTCTTTTTCTCCCTCTGCCCGCCCCCCCACCTGTGCTTGTTGCTTGTGTGCATGCTCTCTCTCTCAAATAAATGAAATCTTTACAAATAAAAAAATAAAAATTTAAATGTAAGTGGCCAAAGATTACCATAAATGATGGTTTCAGCTTAAATAGTGTTCATCTGGTAACAGACCTACATCCATAAGCAGAGGAAGCCAGGTGAGGGACTAGGAGAAAGGAGACACTAGGAAGAAGGTAGTGGGGATTTATTCTCTCCATTAAGACTTCAGGTAGCTGTAGAGCAAGCAGTGTGTTCCCAGATGTGATTCCTGACAACCTTGTTACTTAAAAATGTAATTCCTAAGCTCACCTTGGTTCTATTAATCGTACTAGTCACATTCTCCAGAGATGAGCTCTAGGAATCTGTATTTTTAACACAGCTCTCTAGGTGATTCTCACGCACACCAAAGAGCAGTTTTTCAAGTTCAGGTGAATCACTTGGGAAGGTTATGTTTTCCCATTTTAAAATTCTATTAGTTCATTTACTCATTTAGAATGTAGCTTTATTTTACTTTTAACCATACTAATGCACTTTCCTTTTAAAATAATGAATGCATTCACGTTATAAAAAGTTCTACACTGCAGAGCAGGGTTCTCAACCAGGAGTGATTTTCTCCCTCAGGAAACATTTGGCATGTCTGGAGATATTTTTGATTCTCATGACCCTAGGGGTTGCTACTAGCATCTAGTGGATAGAGGCCAAGGATGCTGCTGAGCAGCCTACAACACGCTGCAACAGCACATCCCTCACAATAAAGAGTTATCCAGCCCAAATATCAAAGGGTTAAGAAACTGATTTAGAGTTATAATGATCCCCTTCTTCCCCTAAGGGAAATTTTTAAAAATAGAGATTTCTGGGCCTAACTCCGCTCTAGTCATTGAGAATATCTAGTAGCTAGAATTCTAGAGTCAGTGTATTTATTGTTCTAGTATTTTATTTTAAATACATTTAAGCATCTCATTCTTCACAGAAAAGAAAACCATGAAATCAAATGATTTCATTCTTGAGAGAAAAGTTATCAGCTTTTTACTTCTTTCCTCAGTTCTTTAAAATAAGTTATTTTAAAATTATCTGAAATTTTAGATTAGCTATTAAGTCATTTTTAACATTGTTTATCTTCTTTTAAGAATACTTTTGACATTTGCATTAAGTTTTGTGAGTTTATCACTAACAACCGTGTAGACATTTATAACTGTCTTACTGATTTCATTGATCACCTCCATTTCATCTATGCCCTGTGTCTCCATTATTGTGCTTCATTACATCAACTATGTGCATAGTTGTCTTCTAGTACTCCTGGTACCTTTTCTAGTACTTTTCTCAGAAAGGGCCAATAGGTACTATAGTTTTATGTGTCCTTGCATGTCTGATAATGCTCTTGTTCAGTGGAGTATAATATTCTTTGGTCAGTTATCTTTTCCCTGAGAACTTTAATGTTAGAGAAAAGTATCACATTATTTTAGTATGGCCCAAGAGAAGTCCAAGCCAATCTTTATTTTTCTTTTCTAGCTTTGTTTGTCCCACTGCCCACTACTGCACAGTGATGCTTACGGATTCTTTGTTCTCTGTCCTTGGAATTCAAAATTTTCATTGGGCTGTGTTAAGTCTCTTTATCTTTTCATGGTACTAGATGAACCAGTTCAGTATGTAGACTCGAGACTTTTTTCAACTCTGAATTTTACTTCTGTGATTTTTTTTTTCTTTTCATAGTATTTCGCTTCTCAATCTTTCTTTTATCCTGTTGGAATCATTGTGTCAATTCTTGATATCTGTCCTCTACGCTCCTTTTCTTTTTTTTTTTTATTATGTTTATCTCTTAATCCTTTTTTGTTAGAACTAGTATTTTTTAAGAAACTTTATATATGGTTTTGAGGTACAGCCAAGTTTGGGAAGCCCTGCTGTGAAGGTTGAGCCGTGTCATGTGGAAGAACTCATCACAGTGGTGCTTTTTGCTTGACTTGCTGGTTCATTCATTGTCAGGAGATACATAGATGTATTCAGAGTATCACTTTCGAATGAGTTATCTCTCTTAAATGCAGTAAATTTGCATTTAGACAATTTCAATAAAATTTGCGCATATATACCCAGGCACTAATTTTTATCATCTGATCTGACATTAAAATTTTTCCTTCCTATATAAGCCATACTGTGTTTTTTAAAAAAAAAAAAAAAGTCTTTAATATGATCTTAGAGGGGAATGCACTTTCAAAAAATGTTTTCAGTAGGTATTTGAGGAAATACAATAAAGAGAAAAAAAAATTAAGTAGTAACCCCACTTCTCACAGAGATAATCATTGTTCACATATGGTGGGTGCATTTTGTTCAAGTTTCATTTTTTTCACCATTAAACTTAAGGTTGCAGAAGTAACTAATACTGTTTTTGTCGTAATTTATATTTTACAAATGTTTTTCTCAAGATAATGGAAGTAAACGGACAAAACTTTGAAAATATTACATTTGTGAAGGCCCTTGAAATTTTAAGGAATAATACTCATCTTGCACTTACTGTGAAGACCAACATTTTTGGTGAGTTTTGTTGTAAAAACAGGCTTTTTGTTTGTTTTTTGGTTTGTTTGATAATAAAGAAAAAAATAACAAAATGTAAACAGGTTCTCTCTGAGCTCTTAGATAAACATTTTTAGGATCCTTAATGTTGAGATATGGTACTATGTATTCTAGAATTTTCATTTTTCATTATTTGTATTATTTTGATGTCTTAGAAATAAGATTTAAAATAGGTGTAGAAGTATGTTCAGTTAGTCATTTATGAAATGTCTTCTGAGGAGATATTATGTACTTTGCTGGGAGGCACAGTGAGTGAAACTTAGAATGATCTGAATGAAGCATAAAAGTCATAGTTGTTTATTTCCCCTGCTAACGTGCACATCATAGTACTGCTAAAGTTTTAACTGCCTTTCTGAAATAAAATATGAATGCCAGATTAGCTGTTTCGTGAAAATAAATTGAGTAAAACAATCAATGAACTCCAGATTTTTAATAATGGTGTACTCTACCTTTCTATTTAAAATGCTGATTACTGTGTCTGCAGTGCGTTTTGATCATGCTTCTGTTTGAATGAAGCAAAGACTAAGCTTGTACTTGCATTTTGTTTTCTTTTAGGGAAGACTTACTGTAACTTCGTTTCATTAGATACCAGAGGATATTCTCTGAAATTCTGAGAAGGGCAACAATAAAAACAGTATAATTGAAAATTATCAAAGAAAATTTAAGGGTCTTTATGAAGTAAGGGGGAAAAATTCGTATAGGTCATTTCGGTTGCAATTTGAAAACTAGGAGTTGAATTTAAAAGCTGTGCCTATTGAAAAGGAAGTGTGTTTTATTTTTTCACTTTGACTCCTCCTCATACTGCACTTAGTCATAGTGAAAAATGAAACATTTGGTATTTTTCCTCTTTTCACTTGAGTCTTTTCTACTGAATTATATCCTCTTAAATCTGATACATAACTGTCTATTTGCAGTTTCTCAATACTATACTTTTTAGTGTAAAATAAGTAAGCCTTCACAGTTTCTGGATTTCTTGAGTTTGAACTAGTATCTAGAAACAAAACTTGCGGGTTAAATTTAAAAAATTCTGATTTTGTAAAATAGGAAAGCAGAGCTTGCTCTGACACTTAGAGCAAATGATTCTCCAAGCTTGACTTTCTCCAGCTGTATTTCATAAGGCTCTTATACGGATCAAACACCTTTAACTTTTTGTGCCAGCACGTAATAATTACTAACTGGTATCAACTATTATGTATAAAAACAGAGAGATAATAAATTTGGTGGTTAATACCATGACCCCTGGAAGACAGAAAAAGGAGACATGAAGGATATAAAAGGCAGGGAAGCCACAACCTTAGAACTCCTTGAGTGGTGAGAAACAATTGCCCAGCAGAACTCTAGATTGGATGTGGCACAGGGTAGGCGTTATGTGGTACTGAAAAAGGGGCCCGTGTCCTCAACACCTTGTTCCTTATCCTAGGCAAAGTATGGGCAGCGACTTTTACCCCAAACAAAACACCTAAGAGTATCTCAGAGGAATATTAATAAAACATTTGTAGAAATGGAGCATTTTAGTCTGGATGTCATACCTGGAATAAAGTCCTAGTAACTCTGGCATTACAGTGAAGAAAAGTTGCACAGTTAGGTCGTCCTATACAGAACTCACAGTCAGAACACCTGCAAATAGGAGAGGTCTCTGGGTGGCTCAGTCATTTAAGTGTCTGCCTTCAGCTCAGGTCATGATCCCTGGGTCCCGGGATCAAGTCGCACATTGGGCTCCCTGCTTAGTGGGGAGTCTGCTTGTTGCTTTCCTCTGCTACTTCCTCTGCTTGTGTGTGTGTGCGCATGCGTCCATGCGTGCTCTCTCTCTCTCTCTCTCTCTCTCTCTCTCTCTCTCTTTCTCAAATAAAATCTTTTTAAAAGAAAGCAAGAGAGAGAAAGAAACACCTACAATTAGGAAAACTGGCCAGAAGACAGATTTGTTTAGATGATACCAGAGCAAATCATATTTGGTCATTTTGTGTTAATTAAAACTGATAGCCAGGCATAGGAGAATCAGGATCATTGAGGAAGCATGGTGGGGAACCTAATAAGTAAGCTTACAGATTCTGGAGAAAATAGTTAAGAGAGAAGAAAAACATTTCCAGAACTGTGCTGAGAGAGATTAAAAATTCATCTCTTAAAACAAGAACAGGGTATTAGGAAAAAAGGAACAGTCCCTGAGAAAGAAATAACTCAGAGTGACTTAAAACATGGCAGCAAAGACAAAAACATTCAGTAGAGGGAGTAGGTAATAAAGTTGAGGAAGTCTCCCAGACTATAGAACAACAGTAAATAGCGTTGAGCATTATTGCAGGAAATCTGAAAGAAAATGTGGAGAATAAAGTATTCATGCAACAGTAGTAGAGACTATCCCAGAATGAAAGAAGGATGTGACTCTTCTCATTCAAAGGTCCACCTAAACTCTGTGCAGAATGAATTAAAGAAACTTGTTTTAACATTCTGTTTCCAGTATTGACTGAGAACAACCAGGAAAGACTAAATATAAAAAGTAGCTACGACAAAGTATAAAAATTCAAGAAGAGAGCTAAGAACTACCTGACACAGAACAGAGAGAGAATCAGACCAGAAAGAGGTGAACTGGAGCTGTATGTGCTCTGGGACATTCACCAATACAAAAAAGCACCCAAGAGACAGCCTTTTTGGGTAATGGACTCCCAGGAAAAGACTAAAGAGTTGGAATCCTGCAGTTGCTAGGAGAACAAAGTCTGCATGTGTTACATCCCTTCCCCCCCCTCACTGAAACTGTACCCCAAAAGGATGTCTTTTTTTCCATGGACATTTTCAGTCCATAGATTGTAGCTCAGAAAAGGAACTGCTGGATAAAATATCAGAGGCTTCTAGTTTAGAGAGCCCACCAGGGCCAGACCACTCTCGCATAACAGCGTTTATTGAGGACTGGGACCTTGAACGGCTAACTCTGAAGTGGATGTAGGCTGTACTCTAAGCAGCTCAGAAGGACCTCAAGTTTTGGCCCTGTCTCTAGCCCTGGACATCAGGTGCCTGGCAAAAGAACATAAAAATTCTCTTTTGAGGATTCTAGCAGTAACCTCTTATTTGTAAAAATTTTTCAAGTACAGAGTCAAGCAAACAATCAAAGATTGTGAGGCTCTCTTAAAAGTCAGTGTAATCCACAACCAACAGAGACAGAACTAGAGGAGCTCCAGAATATCAAACACAGACTATGAGGTAACTGTCTTATATCTGTGAAGATAAAAATCAAATTAAGGGTTCCATTTACAGGTGAGATGGAGTAAACACATGCCACCCTTTATTTCCCCACTAAGCCCAACAATAAAACCTGGCCAGAATCGTGATCCACCCATTGAAGAACTTGAAAAATTCAAAGTCCCACTACCAGCAGTGAATTAATCTTTTTCTTTTTTTTTAAATCCAGTATCCCCTGAGCTGGCAAGCTGAAACCTAGATGTGTGCAAACCAATAAGGATTCAGGAAAAAGATGATTTGAGGAGTGAGAAAAGGAATTCCCACAGTTTTCCCCCCCCGCCCCCGCTCTTTTTTTCTCCATTCTGTCAGGCCTCAGCCGCCAAGCAATCCAGTAGCATTGACAGTAGCCTGCAACACAAGGCTGCACAAGCCAGAATTCTGAGGAAGGGGAACCTTCTTCACCCTTTAGTGGAGCTGTGGCTCCAAGAAGGCAAGGCCAACTTCATTGTTGTTTTCCCACACTCTCTCTGTCCTCCTCTTCCATGGCCCCTAAAGTGCTACAGTGGGCAGTTTATTAGTTTATTTCTAGAGGACTTAAAAGGTTAATCTAAGGATAGTAGGTTGATAACTGAGATGGAGGAAGGAGACAACCCATAAAGTTTATGAGATCCTGGGCTCACCTCCATCCTTTGTGTGCATGGATGTGATCCTACTTAGCATACCAGAAACTTGGAGAACTGACATGCCAATAGACACACCTCTGCCCAGGTGCCAGACTGAGTAGTGGCACAAAGCAGACAGATGGAGATAGCATTCCAAAGCTTTCCAAACTGAACTTGGGAACCACAGCCCACAGAAGGCTAAACAAAGATAGCATCATGTTCCATAACTTATAAACAGGACTCAGAGCAATTTTAACTATAACAAGGATCCCTTAGTACAAGTCTCTTTATTTTGTTTGGGCTTGGTGGAACTTTTGAATTTGTGCATTGATGTCTCATCACTTTAGAAATTTTGTGGCCATTAATGACTTGAGATACTGCCTTTGCTACTATGTCTTCTTTCCATGTGAGAGATCATTTACTTACGTGTTAAAAGATCTGTGTCCCATGCATCTCTTAGAGTCCGTTCTGTTCTTTCCGTTTTTTTCCCCTACTTGGGCTTCAGTTTTGATATTTTCTAATGACCTGCGTTTAAGCAAAGTTTTCCTATTTTCTTCTGTGTCCAGTCTGCTGTTGAATACATGCAGTGAGCTTAATTTTAGATAACTAATTTTTTAGTTCTAGAATTGCCATTTGAATCTCTTTTATAAACTCCAGTTCTCTGTTGCACCATGTCTTCATCCATTTTATCTCTTCCCTATATTTTCTTTATTTATAATGGTTATTACAAAACTCTGTGTGTTAATTCCAAAATTGGGTTTTTATTCTCTGTGCCCCCCCTTCCCAGTTATCATTGTGTCTTATTTTGTGTGTCTTACAATTTTTTTTTTTTTTTTTTTGGTATGCTGTACTTAGTATATAAAGAAACCTAAGCAAGTAGGGAAATATTTTTTCATAGAAAGGATTTGCCATTTCCTCTGGTTAAGCATATAAGTAAGGTAGGGGAATTGGGCTGGGTGAGGCTGGGTTACAAAATTACTTAAAATGTATCCAGGTTTCAAACTGAGAGTGAGATTTGTCATGTGCTTGATGCAGGCCCCATCTCTAATGGAACTTTGTCTCTGAGCGCAGAGAGATTGTGGGAAGTTGTACTCTGCTTTGTCAGCCTTGTCCTGGTACCCTCACCCCCAA